TCCCAAACATCACATGAAACTAGTTAGTCATTTAGGAATCTGGAGAAACAATCTTAAAATATCACTTGACCAGACAAAAAATTCTTTTATTAAACCAATGCTGCCCAGAATGGAATTTATGCATATGTCATACCCACCGTGAGTTTAGTTTATCAACTGTCTCTACACATAGACAGCTTCACAAGTACTTAATTACCGAGGAGCAGTAGTAACTTAATGATTAAGAAAAAGATTGTTAAATGTCAAAGGTTATAAAGTGTTATAGGATAGTATGGTAAGGAAAAGGGTAAAGATGAAGTAAATTGGAGGTTAATAAAGGTAAGGGTTAAGGGTATGGGGCGATTGGATGGAATGGGATTTATCTGTTGCTGGGACAGCTATAGGAACATTACTTCAGGGAAAACTGGTAAAAGAGCTATTATGAAATAATTAATGGGTAATACAGGTAGGGGTGGCTGTTGGAGAAGTAGCAGGAGAAGAGTCTGGGGGATGAGATAAGGGGACTGGGGAAGGGGGTGAAGTATCAGGAAGAGCATCAGGATGGGAGGAATCTGGAGAAAGACTGTTGCAACAGAAAGGATTCACGTGAGTATTCACCTGGGAGAGGTAAGGATAATGGAGAAGGAAAAGGGAATGATGTAAATGGAGAAGGAGAGGATGGGGTGTGTTGGGTAAGAGTAGGAGGAAGAGGGGTAGGGGGAAATTGCGGGTAGGAGGATGATTCTTGGTAAATACTTTGAATGTTGAGGGACTAGAAATAGAGGGATTTGGAGGGTGGATGAGGGAGTGTAACATTTTCTTGAGTCATGTCTAAGAACTTTTGGATATCTTCAAGAGTTTCTGGAGGGGCTTTAGGTAGGAAGGTCCTCTTGTGAGGAGGAGAAGAGGGATAGATGTTCAAGGAGAAGAGGAAAAGGAGGGTGTAGATGAGGGTGTGGAAGGCAAAGATGGAGTAGAATGTTTAGGTTGTCTGGTGCAACAGGTAAAGTGAGGGAGAGGAAGGGTAGGCATTGAAGCGGTAGAGATTGGAGTATCTGGATTTAGAATGGAAAAGGGATTTGATTGGAGGATAGGGAGAGTAGAGGTAAGATGGTTCAGGGAAGAGGGAAGAGATACTGGGGGAGATGCAGAAACATCCTGTGGAGATGGGAGGGAGCAGAGCAAAAGACTGTTTTGGAATAGGTAGAGGGAGAAAAACCTGTCTAGCCTCATGTAGAGTGAAGTCTTGTTTGAATCTGAGAACTGCTACCTCACATTTGAGCTTATAAGCAGGGCAGTTCCTATGATATACATTATGGGAGTCACCACAGTTGGCACATGTACGTGACTGAGCAGGGCAATTTGAACAGTCATGATCAAGTACAAGTATTAAGAGAGGGGTGAGGTTCGGCAGGAATGGGTTTGGCAGTTAGGTCAGTCAGGGAAGATAGTGCATGAGCTTAGGATTCAGATATAACTGAGACCAGGTGTAAATGATCAGAGCAATAGCGAAAAGTAACTTTGCTCACATGTTTTTGGAGACACTGTTGAAAGTGAAGGGTATTCTCAAAGTAGGGAGCTGTGGGGGAATCACAAAGAATCAATTTCACTTGGCTGGGCCAAAGAGAGTACTCAAAAGGTTTGTAGACATAGAGGCAGTAGAAAGATGAAGGCAGGAGCAAGATAGGATGGTGTGGAGTGGAGTAGTTCTGTGGGGGGGGGGGGGACAATAAGGATGAAGAGTAGTAATAAGGGAAGAGGGGGTAGACATTAAAGAAGACTGTGTAGTAAGAGATGGAGAGGAGAATGTTGGGAGAGAGGGAGGGGTGCATTCTGGGGATTGAAAAATAACTTGGGTGGGTGGTTTGGAAGTAATAGAGTTGTCAGTTAACTTCGAGGTGGGGGTATTAGTATCTGTGGTCAAAACTGTGGTCAAAGGAGAGGAAGGGGTTTGAAAACCACCAAAATCAAATTCAAACAGGCTAGTTGATGAAGGGACAAGCCTTATTTCTCTTATTAAGGGTAAAAAATCTTTGGCCATGGTGAGTCATAATAAAATGGGGAAAAGTAAAAGTCTACCCCTCAGGGTCCCCATAAGGGTTAAGGGCTAGGAAATTAACCAAGGGAATACCATGCTTATCACTCCTGGAGGCCTTTCATGACTGACACAAAGCCAGTCTTTCATCCTTTCAGCACGGTTCTCACACACTAGGAATGGGACAGAAGAAGGGGATATAGAGGAGGAAAAGGTGAATAGAAAAGACCATGTAAAATTAGTTGAGGTGAGGGCTGAGGCCCAAGATAGGGGCAGTCCCCTACACTGGGCTTCAGTCTAGTCTCCATCTACTAAGCCCCTCCCGTGACAACAACAAGCAAAGTATTGGAAGGGTTCATCAATCAATGATTATAGAAACACCTCTGATAGCATCCAAGATCACTTAATTGATGGTTTGTTAATTTTTGAATATTCAGTCTATATGATTCTTAATTGCAAATATGATTACCTACATTTTACATTTAACCCCCCCCCCCAAAAAAAAAAAAAAAAAAAATCAAGGTAAACACACACAGTATCCGTTATTACCGTTTCTGTTCCTTTCAATTCGCTTATGAAGTGAATGAGCACCCGGCGTACGTCTGCATGTTCTTTTTCTGAGACGGGAGATGTCTGCAGCCACTTATGAACTTCCTGAAAGGAGTACAGAAAATGATGCATACTGCACTGGTACTTCATATGTAAGAGGAGTCACAAGTATATGAAAATACACATTTAATTTGTCCTATATATACTTTTGCAATGTATACAAACTGCCAATAACATCTGAAATATATTTTGATTAATAAAGAGAAAATGAAAGTATGACAGAGAGAGAGAGAGAGAGAGAGAGAGAGAGAGAGAGAGAGAGAGAGAGAGAGAGAGAGAGAGAGAGAGAGAGAGAGAGAGAGAGAGAGAGAGAGAGAGAGAGAGAGAGGAGAGAGAGAAAGAGAGAAGAGAGAGGGGGGGGGGGAAGAAGAGAGAGAGGGGGGAGAGAGAGGGGGGGGAGAGAGGGGGGGGAAGAGAGAAGAGAGGGGGGAAGAGAGCAAGAGAGGGGGGGAGAGGGGGGGGAAGAGGCAAGAGAGGGGGGAAAAGAGAGCAAGAGAGGGGGGGGAAGAGAGCAAGAGAGGGGGGGGGGGAAGAAGAGCAAGAGAGGGGGGGAAAGAGAGCAGAGAGAGGGGGGGGGAGAGAGAGAGAGGGGGGGGGGAGAGAGAGAGAGGGGGAGAGAGAGAGAGAGGGGGGGGAGAGAGAGAGTTAGAGGGAGGGGGAAA